ATGATGTCAAAATTCATATATGTACTTAAAACGACATTTCAAACATTGTACAGAATTAAGAATTTGTTGTTAAACTTTTCAACTTTTTAATCAAAGTTAAAAAACAAAAAATACTGGGTATGCCGTAGCTAAAATACATCTTTGATTTTTGAGATTTTTTTTCGCCAAAGGTGTTGCGTATTTCTTTCCATACAACGCAAGACCGAGAAAATGGGGGAGAAACTGCTCAGCACACTCGGCGAAAAAGATTCTCAAAAATCAAAAGCATACCTTTTTTAATTATTCTTACGTATAAATGGGCGTCCGCTATACGCAATCAAAGCAAGAGCTGTTGAGGATACATAAATTGTATAAAAAAGTAATGCCAACCTTTATTCCGTCGACTAGAGTTATTAGTTGTAGCAGCCTCATAAGCGTCCTTGTCTGTAATTTCCTCTTTAATTATTGCTTTGCCGTCAAGAGCCATCTGTAAGAAAAAAAAACGGGAAAAAACAATTATCATAAACCGTAATACATACCGTCACTAGACACGAATAAAGGCGCGCCATTGTTTTGACGGCGAAAAAAGGACGCATTGATGAAAAAAGATGCGTGAAAAAACACTTCGGCGAAAAAAGACGTGTAAACCTAGTTTACGACGAAGAAAGACGGGTAAACATAGATTTATACCTATCCAAAAACTGGCACTTCAGCAGTATTCTCCAAAACTCTTTGGGGAATGTACATACAAAAGGGGAGTGCAATAAGGCCCGCGGAAATAACGCCCATGAGCTTTATTTCTCAAAAAAAAAAAGAAATAATGCCCATGGGCGTTATTTCCATTTCGAAGGGGAAATAGCGCCCCCCCGTAAAAGGTATCTCATTTGATTTATTTCATAAAAAAGGAAATAAAGCCCGTGAGTAAAATTTTCTCCAACTTTATTTTACTGAAACATTCCAATTATGTACACAGGCATACATTTGGAACGTATTTTAAACGAATTGCTCTCTATTTTTGCATACAGTGTAGTTCTGCGTTATTCCCTTCTGAAGTATACGCATAAAATCGGACGGTATTTTTGCCAATAACTGATAAGCGAATTATTGGAAGTTAAAGATAAATTGTTACTGTTTTTTTAGCTTTCTATGCGATGCGCATATTTATTCTCAGCGTCTTAGCTTTTTCAGTGGTGGCGCGCAAACTCGGCCGGACCGCCGCAGTTGAGCGCCAACAGGCTCGTTTCCCCCCTCGCCATTACGCCGGAAAATTTATTTGTTTATATACTTGCATTATTTAAATTCTCTATATGAATGTACGATGAGGAGTTGGGGTTGTTTGTGTACCCACGCCGCACTGTGGTGATGTGGATGACGCACGGGTTGTTTTAGCTGAGAAGGCAACTGAAAATAATTTTTTTGAATAAAGGGCGGAATAACATAAATCAGCCATATTCGAATGGTTTGTGCGACATCAAGGCACAAAACGCACTCCAATCGGAGGAGAAGCTCGGCCAATCAGAGTACACTAAATCTAAATGGTAATACAAGCATTTTGTGTCAAATTTGCCGTCAAATT